TCCCTCAACTTTTCCCTCCAAAGTGCCCTCCATTTTGCCTCTGACGTCCCTCAATTTTTCCCTCTGAAGTTCCCTTCATTTTGCTTCTGAGGTCCCTCAACTTTTCCCTCCGAAGTGCCCGCCATTTTACCTCTGAGGTCCCTTAACTTTTCCCTCTAAAGTGTCCACCATTTTGCCTCTGACGAGGCCCCCAACCTCTCCCTCCAAAGTTGCCGCCATTTTCCGCGGTCCCTCAGATTTTCCTTCTAAAGTGCCCTCCATTTTGCCTCTGAGTTTCCTCAACTTTTCCCTCCAAAGTGCCCGCCATTTTACCTCTGAGGTTCCACAACTTTTCCCTCTAAAGTGCCCGCCCTTTTTGCCTCTGAGATCACTCAAACTCTCGCTCCGAAGTTCTCTCCATTTTACCTCTGAGGTCCCTCAGCTTTTCCTTCTGAAGTTCCCTCCACTTTTCCCTCCCAAGTGCCCTCCATTTTACCTCTGACCTCCCTCCACTTTTCCCTTCTAAAGCGTCCACCATTTTGCCTCTGAGGTCCTTCAAATTTTCCTTCTAAATTGTCCTCCATTTTGCTTCTGAGGTCCCTCAACTTCTCCCACCAAAACTTATGTCTCGTCACAGCTACTTCACTCTTTCCATGTCAAAATGCTCACCAAGTCCCGTCTCAGTTTCATCTCTACATTCCCACCAAAAAGCCCTGTCTCCCCTCTGTTATCTCAATTCCCCTCTACAAAATTATTTGTCATGTTCCCTCAATTTTACCTCTATTTGTCCCTCACATTTTATGAGTCTCTTCTCTCTAAAGATACCTCCAGTGTCTTCCCAGCAAAATTCTCACCCTCTTTCCTTCTAGTTACCTCAGAATTTACCTCAAAAATGCTTGCCCTCTCCCTTCTCAGCTACCCTAGATCTTCCCTACAAAATCTTCACCATGACATCGCAATGTTACCTCTGCTTTCCTGTCAAAAAAATCCTCATGCTGTTTTCTCTACATTACCTCAGTGTTACCACCCAAAATACTAATTACCCAATTTTATCTCTGCTTTCCCCTCAAATATACTGGTTCTATCCCTTCTCCTCTCACCCCAAAACACTCCTCCTGTCCCCTTTCATATCTTTTTCTGCCAAAAACCTCATCCACTCTCTTCCAAATTTAGCTCATATTTCCCATCAAAAATCTTTCCCCTCTCTCCTATGAGCTACCCCAGCTTTTCCCTACAAAATCCTCAACTCCCCATCTCAGTGTGCTCAGCTTTACTTTCAAAGTGCTCATCCCACCCTCTCTGCATCATTTCACTCATCCCTACAAAATCTTTATCATCTTCCCTTGATGCTACCTCAACTTTTCCCTCAGAAATTCTGGCTCTTCCCCTTTTTAGGTACCTCAGCCTTTCTCTCCTGTTCACTCTGACAATGCCTTTGAACTACTGTCCACAATGCCTGCCCTTTCCCCTCTAAAGGTACTCCCACTTTTGCCCATCTAAGTTGCCTTTATTATCGCCGATAATAAAAAATAAATATCGACTTTTTTTTTTTTTTGTCCATTTTTCCCACCTAAATTGTCACTGCTTTTCCCAATTTAAGTGGTCTCCATTTTCCCCTCACGCCGCCCCCACTAAGATGTCACGGCTTTATTGTTCGCCCCTCCCTAGAGGTCTCCCCAGCGTCCCCTCGCCACCCCACAACGCCCCTCCACTCCCCAACCCTCACTTCAGCCCGCGCCGCCTTGCGCTGCGCGGCGCCTCCCGCCGCCGCCCCGCCCGGGCTGCAACTGCGCTTCCGACGGCGCGAGCCCGCCTTAAATACGCGCCGCGCGCGCGCTGCCTCAGGCGAGAGGGCGGCGGTTGCTGCGCGGCACGTGACGCGTTTGGGCGGGAAGAGCCTCGCGCTGCCTGAGGCGAGAGGGCGGCGGCTGCAGCGCGGCGCGCGACGCGGTTTGGGCGGGAAGAGCCTCGCGCTCGCACCGCTGAGGCGGGGCACCCCCAGCGCCTCAGGGTGCTGCTTCATCCCTTGGGTCCTCTCAGGAGGTGCCAGCCACAAGCAGTCTCGGAGGTGTTTTGTTCTCCGAGGTGTTTTAGTTCAAAGCAAGTTACGCTTCATCCAAGTGTTTTGGGGGTTCACTTTTTTTTTCCTGCTAGATATTGTTTGGAACAAAAACTTTTAAATTTAACGAGTGTGCTGAAG